CGATCTCCTCTCTCTCCTATTCCCATTGCAACCACACTCTGCCCCCAGATAGAGGAGGATTGTTTTATCTCCCTTGGTGGGGACTTCCCATTTGTTTTCTGTGACCAGAACTTTATCCCTCCCATCCCAACCAGTTCTAGGACTGTGTTTCCTAATCCCTCTTTTTTCTTCTTCAGACATCTCTACCCCACCAGCCTCAGCAGGGATCTGCTGGTTATAAAGGAGTATGAAGTCCCACAGCACTCCCCGGATGAATGTTATTTGACTCATTCAATTGGCCATGACCTGTCAGCCTCCTATAGGCCTTACAGAAGTGCCTCATTTGCATTTGATGAGCAGGAAGTCTTCTTGGCTTTGGATGTAGACAGTGAGTACTCCCATTGTAAACAGCATAAAGCTCCTTGTGGGTCGCCAGGTAGCCTCTATATTCTATCAAACAACCTGTATAAACTGAAATGCATCTTTGCAAACAGGACCTGTAGACTCATATTGGTTTGAATTATGCCAGGTCTGAGTTCTTATGAGGAAGATGAGAAATGTTCAGACACACATCTTATAAGTGAGATGTGTGTGATATGGCATGGCCTTGCCAGGCCATCATTCAAAGTGGGCCAAGATGGATGAATGGATAAAGAAGATGTGGTATATATATACATGGAATATTAGCCATAAAAAAAGATGAAACCTTGCCATTTGGGACAACATGGATAGACCTTGAGGGTATTATACTAAGTGAAATATGTCAAATGGAAAAGCCAAATACCATGTGATCTCACTCATGTGGAGTATAAACACAAAAAATGAACAAACAAAACAAAACAGAACACATAGATACAGAGGACAGATTGTTGGTTACCAGACGGGAATGGGGGTGGGAGGAAAGTGAAATGGGTAAAGGGAGTCAATTGTATGGTGATGGATGGAAACTAGACTTTTGGTAGTAGCACACTATAGTATACAGAAGTTAAATTATAATATTGTATACCTGAAACTTATATAATGTTATAAACTAATGGTACCTCAATAACAAAAAAAGTCTGGTCTTGAAACTGGTGCCTTTTGAAATTGTAGATCTTTAGCAATCTTCCCAGTTACTTTTTTAGCACTTTTGAAGCATTCTGTCCTCTTGGGTCAATTTTAGTCATTTGTACTTTACTAAAAATTTTTTCTAAAATTTCGAATTTGCATTGCTAAAGAGTTCATTTATTAAGCTGATGTATATTGAGTGATAATATGTTCCAGGCTCCATTCTGTGCACTGAAAATAGAATGAAAAACAGTCCGATACCCCCATAGAGTTTATATTTTAGTGAGGTGGAGGCAGAAAGAAAACAATCATGTCGTTGTGTGATTGTGCAGGGTTGTTTTTCTTTTCATCACATGCAGTTGTATGACTGTGTTCTTTTCAAGAATATTTAATTATACAAAATATATTGTATAGTTTCATTGATGACACATATCAGGATTTCTCTAATTGCGTAATAGAGAGTGAAACGTTTACATTTTTACAAACTTAACTTGGATAACAAGAGAGAATAATGTATCTTTAGTAAATTATCATCGCTATAAATCTTATGATAGCTTTAAGTTCTTAATCTGTGAGCAATAGACCCCAATGAAAGGGTCACGGTGGTGACATTATTACAAGGGTTTGAGGAATGCATATGTTGCTGAAGCATTATATGTTACAGAATAAATAATGTCAAATATTGGCAAATTTTTTTTACAAATATATGTACCTGTTAAGTTTAATAAAATTTAAATTCATTTAAAAGAGAAAACAAATAATTTGATCAGCGGGCAAAGTAGTGTCAAGACTTCAGAAGTCTTACTACACCCTGCCAAATTCTCATAAAATAACGAAAAAGAAAAGAAGATACCCTAAAAAATATGTGTTATCAGAAGGGTGAAAATGAAGGGTGGCTACAAGTCGTTGGTCATACATAGTGGCAAGTATATGATGACTCCTCCTTCAAAATGAGAAAATAAAACTAGACTCAGATTTAAGGTGCAAGTATATGCACACAAAATCGATGGATATAAACCTTGAAAATGTCTGTACATATGTAAGTATTTAGCAATCCATAAAACTCCTATCTATGTCATGTAGATGTATTTTTATGATCTTGCAAATCTTGACTTTAAGTATAGTTTTTTGAATGGAAACTGGATCAACTGTATTTTAGTCTCTTTGGAGAAAAACTATATAAAGGAGGATGATCTGCCTGGGCTGAGATAAGAAGAAAATCAAAGAGTCAGGTCCTGGAAATATTCATCCAAACACAGGAGAGTTAAAGATCCTCATGACACAGAACTTATTCCTCCAGATTCTGTGACAAATTTATCACAAAGGTCTTCACATAAACTTTATGTGAAGTTTATATCTAATTCCACTTATCTTTTATGAAAATTAATAATCAACATTATGTTCCAGGAAAACTTAATGAAAATAAACCACATACTCTGACATTATTTTCAAATTTGCAGAATAAAGAAAAGATACTATAAGCATCCAGGCAAATTAATTGGGTTATCCTCCAATAATCAAATTTCAAAACAAATTACCCCTTTGCAGCTCTAAACATAGTAAAATAATAGCATAACACCAATAGAGCTTTCAATAAAATATGTGATTCTAAAGTTCAAAACACTCATGAAAGCAACTGTGTACAGAGTCTGCTACTTGCTCCCCAATAACCATTTACCTCCTCTTCCTTTGAATAGAATTCTCTGTTTTTGCATCAGTACAGAGCCAACTGTAATAGACAGTGTATCTACCAGCCCCCACTGAGCTCCTATGGATCTGTGACTCAGTGGGCTCAGTGGGATGTAAGGAGAACTAGTATGTGTTATTTCCAGAAAGTGACCTTAAAAGGAAGAGGTTTACTTTTTCAGCCCTTTCTTAATTTCTTCTCTCTGCCATACAGACATGGTATTTGAATTTTTAGCAACCATCTTGCATCTTAAGTGGAAATTATGTTTGAGCATGACTGATAGAGAAACAAGACAAAATGTTACCAAACCAAGTGGGCTCACCTCCTGGTGAGTTAAATAAGGCTCTACACCAGTGGAAGTTGTCTAACAAAGTAAAGTGTACTTGCAAGCAAATAGGAGGCCATGAGGAATCGTTTCCAAAGTCATGGTGTCCCCGAACAAAGGAAGGTAGGAACTTTTATTTGGTTGGGGAATGAATATTCAAAAGGGAGAGGCGGGTATTCACTTGCACAGGCTCAGTTGGAGAACATGCTTCCACATAATGAGGCGTAAGCTCTTCCTGGAGAGATCTTTGCATTAAAAATAAGGCAAAGGTCATGGGCAGGGCTCTTGTGGGGAGCCTTGGTCAGTTTCAGGATGGCTGGTGGCTACATCTCCTTAACATACAAAAGGAAAAGAAACAACTTGGAAAAACAGTTAATTGCTTCCAAACCCACCTTTGAGTTTCTCCAGGCACCTAGTCGGTGACAAAAATGAACTGGGGTCTCTAATGATTTTGGTACCAGCCTTGGACTGTTTCCCTCTGGAGTTGGTTTATATAAGAAATACATGAATTTCCATCTTAGCTAAGCCACTGTTATTTTTGTTTTCTCTTACATGCAGCTGAAACTAATTCTGAGACTGCAACAAAAATTCATTCTTAGCTATAAAAGGGTCTAGCATGAATGAATTGCACTATAATAAAAACTGCTGGTTGCATTCTATGATACAAACAAGCTCAAGTCTTCCTTCTATCATCCTGATTTTATCTCTCTCCCATCCTGTTTCTTCCTTTTCTTCACAGTATTTGGTTACATGGTAACTAATCAAAAAACATGTCCATTGAATGAAGAAATGAATAAAGAGCATCTTACAGGTAATGAACACAGAGAGACATGTGCCCCCATTATGAATAAGGATTTGGATCATACAATTGAAATAAAAACATAAAATAAAATTGTGTACTGAAATTAGTACTTTATTAAGAGGAATATTAACTTGCAAAAATAAATTAATTCTTATATCCCTTTCTTCTCTCACATGAGATAGATAAATCTTGAAAATAAAAAGTGAAATTAGAAACATGATATTAAAAGATAGACTCTTATTCACAGCACAGAACACCTGGAACCCATGAATTATCATGGCCGCAGGAAATCAGGTTCTTGCCTATCAGGAAAAACCCAGAATTGCAAAAGCGAATGCCACAATATCCATATACATATATGGAAGAACTAAATCAAAAAGCAGTTGTCCTTTTAAAACAATAGTTCACAGAAAACCTCTGAAAAAGAAAAGTAGAAATCATTCTGCAAAAAACACTGAGTCTAGTTATAAAGGTTTTTATACACATGAAAGTATTCATGAACTACATATTTTTTGACTTATTTTAAATTTATATATATCGCATCATTCTGACATGCCTTTTTTTTCCTTTCAACATTTCAGTTTTCATAGGTACATATGAGAGTATACATTGAAGATAGGAATCCTATTTTTCAATAATGGTGAGCTGAGTCATTTACACTAATCACCCTGTAATAAGCAACCATGGAAACCATATTAAAAATTTTTTAAATTATCTTAAAACTATTGATGAACCAACAAAATAGAGTGGGAAGTGCCAGAGAAAACTCTGGGAGAAAAACGGAACCCAGAAAAGGGAGAATATCAGTAACAAAATTAAATTTGCCCTAGGGTCATTTACTGATACCGGGAAACTTAGGTTTATCTTTTTAACTTCATGAGGCAAGAGGAACAGAAGTCAATGCCCAGGGTCCATCCAAGGTGGAAAGCTTTATCAGAGATGGTCCTAGCATTGCACTGGATGTGCAAAGGACTTCACCCTCCGACTTAGAGTGAACCAAAAGTAAACCTTTTGGGTCCTTTCTGAACCCAACCCCAGAGGACTGCAGGGAAGGTTGCCATAGCATTAAATGAAGCAGAAGAAATTAAAAAGGAATAGAAATATAAAAACTTAACCGTGAGAATTTGTAGCCACTGCCCAGACATTGTGAAGATTCATAGCCCAAGTTCTCATGACCTGGGGGGGTCAGGAAAGCCCAGGCTCTGCACATGGTTTAAGGTGGTGCCCAAATGACACAGCCAAATAAATCCGTAGGTGGAAAACTAAGTTATCTCTGGACGAAAGTACATTTACCCTATGCCTTAGGGAATCCCAACAAGTATTTTTACAAAGAGGAATGAGCAGCACAATCAAAGGCAACTAGGCACACAAGGAAATAAGCCCCCACGAATGAGAACCTGCAGAAACAAGTGAAAGAATGACACGGTGACTCGGAGGCGAAGAAACAACCCAGGCTTAAGAATTCTATTCAGTAAATTATTCGACAGTGGCAGCTGTCCCATGGTATGCACTGGAAGCAAATAGACCAGAAGCCTGCTGAGTTTTTGAGGGAATTCTATAGTCAAAGAAATTAAGATATGGACTTAGAAAGCCTTTGACTGTTTAAGCTTTTGGGTGCCCAAATTTCATGGACAGTAAGTAGTCTGCAAAAGCTGTATATCCCCCAAGGAGACCGTAGCCCCTAGCCTCTATTCATGGTCATTCTGAAGTGGCCATGGAGGAAAACGAACAAGTAAGAATGTCCCTGGGGCAGATCCACAATACTAGTGACAGATGGTGTTGGCTATAATGAAACTTACTGAGAACAACATAAGAATCAGAGGGAAAGCAGAGCATACAGTACTCCTAAGGCCTTACTGATATTCCATAGACAGATATGCTTGGGCTAACAGAGCTGGAAGTGCTGTGAAAGATAATTTAATACAAGGACTCTCACTCCAGCACCACTTTACATATTTATAGATTGGTGTAATAGAGAGTATAGAATACCGATGTGACAAAGATTTCCACAGTTCTTTTTGAAATATTTATTTATTCTTAACTGACCCCACTTAGGTGAACCAGGCTTCTTTGAGTCCATGCCATCAGACCCCTTTCAAAAAGCTAAAACCATCTACTTAGTACTACCTTAATCCTCTCAGAGGCCTTAACAAAGCGTGATGACAACACCCTTGAGCTAGTCTTTACCCTAAGTCTATGTTTTAGATTGACTCTAATTTCAAGTTTTTCTCAATTTTATCTTCTACTATTTGGAGACAAGACCCAATTTTAGTTTTCCTACCCTGAAAGTTTTGGACATTCTGGGCTCTCTATATTCTTTTTCAATTCTGTGTGCACACTGGCTGGTTATATTCTGAATTTATCTCTTGTCTCTTATCAAATGTAAAACTAGTAACCACTTATACTATGAACACTCTGCCACAAAACCTCTTTGCTCAGGGCCACAAGTTCAACGGGTAAATATCTGCCTTCTAAGTTATCAGGAGCAAGGGTGGTATCGATTGTTTCACCACTGCAGAGTTGCTATTTTTCCAGCCTCCTTTATATTTTAGGATTTTTCATAGCAGAAACCCACTTCTAAGTATAAATTTCTTAGTCAATTTTTTGCTGCTATTAACTCCAAAACTCTTAGTGGCTTACAAAAACAAATGTTTTCCTCTCTTTTAAGATGGAAATAAGCAGGAGTTTGGATGCGGGTTTCCATCAGATTAGCTCCTGGCTTCAGGTCTAGCTCAGGTTTGATTCCCATGTCTTTGGTCATGCAGATACCCGGCACACGTTCCTCTCATGACTCATAACAGGATCAGAAGAGGCCATGCCAAATCAAGTAAGACATTTAAAGGCTCTACTTCCATTATTTTTGTTAGCATTCCATTGGCCAAAGCAAGTCACAGAGTCTACCTCAGCATCAATGGAATGGGGAAGTCCATTCTGCCTATTATACTGGGAGGTACTGAAAATCACCTAGCAAAGGATGTCCAGGTAAAATCTGGAAGCCATCTGGGCATGAAATTTTCTTTTTGGAAAGATTTCTAATTAAAAACTCAGCTTCTTGAATAAATATAAGACTATTCAAGTTTGGTATTCTTATTGAATCAGGCTTTGTAATTTGTGTCATTCAATTAATTTGTTCATTTCACCCAATTTGTTGAATTTATTGGTATAAAGTTGAATTTATTGGTACAAAATTGGTATTCCCTTTTTTCTTTTAATGACCAGGCTCTGTGGTGAGTGATGTATTCTATTGCATTACTGATACTGGTGACTTTTGTCTTCTCTCTTTATTCTTTATCAGTCTAAAGGACTGATATCAGGAAGTTTTTAAAGATCTAACTTTTGGTTTCATTGGTTTTCTCTATTATTTTTCTGTTTGCTATGTCAATGATTTTTGTACTTATCTTTATTATTTCCTTTCTTCTACTTGATTTTATGACCTTATCACTTTGGAAGAGTACAGGCCAGCTATTTTGTAGAATGTCCCTCAAATTTTTTTTCTGATGCTTCCTCATAATTTGATCAAGATTATGCGTTTTTGGCAGGAACACCAAAGAAATGATGCTGAGTTTTTCTCAATGTGTCCTATCAGGAGGAACTTCATGTTATTTGTTCCATTATTGATGGTGTTAATTTTGACCAGTTGGTTAAAGCAGTGTTTGCCAGGTTTCTCTAAAGTTACTTTGTAATTAATAAGTATCTTGTGGTGAAAAAATTGGACACTATATGATTATCCTATTTCTCATCAGACTTTCACTAATTTCAGAATCCATTGATGAGTCTTGCATGAAATAATTGTTATTGATGGTTGCCAAATGCTGGTTTTCAAATTGCATCATTCCTTCTACATGTATTAGTCGGAATTCTGCTATAAGGAAGGTACTTTCCTTCTCCTTATTTATTCATTTATACCAGTATGAACTTAGATTCTTATTTTTTTCTATGTATTATAGTCCATTGCCATTATTATTTACTTTTTTCTCTAATTGTCCCAGATTTGGTCAGTGAGAGCTTGTTCAAGCTGGCTTCTGAGTCCTTTTGACATGTTACTATCAATTTTTGAGTACTTACTTATTTTCTGGAACCCTTAATTTCTGATACCACAAGATGTTCCAGGCTCATCTTATACGTTCCCTGCCTCAGCACTGGAATCAGCCATTTTCTCCAAAGAACTCTGATTTCTTTTATCAGAAAAAGGTATTTAGAAATCTGGGTCTGGAGTCTTCTAGGCTTTCTGAGCAGACAAATCTAAGATATATACACATATATACATATATATCATATCTATCTCTATATATACATATATATACCATATATAGCGATAACATATGTAAGTCCTCGATAAACAAGAGTGAGTGACCAGAAAGTAGGAAGATTGCAATAACAAGTAGAAGAGGAATGTACAGCTGGCTTGAATTTGCAAACAAATCTCTGGTAAGGCAAAACTACCTCTCACTGATCTCCCTTACTCCACGCGTTACCAGGCCTGGATATGAAGTTGGTGCCCTACTTTTTTCATCATAGCTACTTGCAGACAAATCTCTTTGCTTCCTCACCACAAAACCCTTTTCTCTGAATCTCATGCCATCAGAATATATCACCCACTATCTTATTTTTTGCAGTCATCTTTAGATGCCCAGGCCATTCTAAGCTTAATGGTTGCAATTTATATTCATGAGCATTCACATCAACTGGGCCCTTAGCACTACCCACTAATTTTACTAAATTTCTCTAGTTCTTCCCTTCTCGTCCTCTCTTCAAACATACAACATCTCATGTGTATCATACTCATGATGACCTTGCTTTATACATCATTGAGAAAACAGAAGAAATTTGAGGAAAATTTCCAAAAGCTGTCACCATGATATCCCCGTCGACCTGCAACTGTGCCCTTATATGCCACCTTCCTTCCTGTTAACTATGTGTGATCTGCCCTATCTGCTTCTAAGGCAAATCTCTCCACTTGTGCACTAAGAGCTAAAACTTACTGAGCACTTCCTATGTGGCTGGCACTACTCTAGGCACTTTATGTTTACTAACTTACTTAATTCTCATAGCAATCCTATGTCTCCCCACTTTACAGGTGGAAATCACTTTAAAGATAGATAACTAAGGTACACAGACAAGGAAGGTTCCTCGAGTCACACAGCTGTTAAATGGTGGACTCCAAATTAAGCACAGTCTGTCACCAGAATCCACGCTCTTAACCACTAGCTACACTGCTTCTCAGGGTGGAATCCATTACTTCTCACTTCCTCAAGAACTTTAGAATTCTTACCTCTCTCTCCTGCATCATATCCATCAACATGCAGCATGATATAATTTTCCCCATATTTTAAAATGAAACCTTTCTTGATCCCACATTGCCTTCCAGCAAACATCCTATTCCTCTGCCTCAACTTGTCTGCAAAACTTCTCAAAAAAGTTGTCTATACTCACCTGTATTAGCTAGCTCCAATTTCTCTCCCCCAACTCTCTGTTTTAGCCTCTCAGTCTAGGCTTTTACCTACAACCACTCTACTGAAAGAGCTTTAGTCAAGGCCCCCAATGACCTCCATATTGTAAACCCTAATGTTTAATCTTAGTCTTCATCTTGCTTTCTTCACTTAGGTTCCTTGACACATGTATTCCTATTGCTGACTCCCAAATATATATCTATCTTAAGCCAAGTAACCTCCTCTGAGCTCCAGATTTGTATTTTTGACTACTTATACAACATCTCCACTTTGATGTCTAAAAGATATCTCAAACTCATCATACCTGAAAACTCCTTATCTTTCTGTTACAAAAGTCTTTCCCAACTCATTATGTGGCAACCTCTCCCTTTGTGTTGTTCAGACTAAAAATCTTGGTGTCATCCTAAGTCTTTTCTTTTTAACTGCACAGCTAATCTTTTAACAAATCCTGCTAGTCGCAACTTCAAAATATAATACACTTCCCATCACTCATCTCCCCAGAAATTGTCAAGATGCCTGGCTTGGAGACTTTGAGATTGCTGGCAACATCGGTCTTCTTTGTTGTTCACAGGAATCTTCTCTCTTCCTGGTTCTGCTTCTTCTACCTCTGTCCTCACAGCTTAGTCCATGATGAGAGTATAGGATTCCAGAGAAGAAAAGCAAGGAAAAGAGTTATCTTTAAGTAGTTCCGCTTCCATTCTGTCATGATGTTCCCCTGTGGCAAGGAAGACCAAAATTTGGCTACCTCCTTGGAATTCAGAGAGGGAAAACTATACGGAAAAAATTTAACATTTTAGTAAATTATCCTACAAGAGTGGAAGAACAGTTACTCTTTTTAAAGAGTGTATGGGAGACTTGAGATGGAAGTGGTGGGAATGGGAAACAAGGAAAACACCACTTCTCAACATTGAGGCATATGAAGTATGAAAATGAACCAGCCACTATTGGAGTAGACTGCAAAGGAAGCATTAATGCTAGGGAAGAGGCTGTTTTTAATTTAGGCAAGGGCATAAAGGGAACACTCAAGGTCTGTGGGTGGAAAATGAGGCATGTCCACTTTGGGCATTAACCAAAAAAACAGTGCTAGGGTTTGATGAGACAAAAACTATTAATGTTCAATTGTCCCAAGATTTTTGATAGTGATAGTGGGTTAAATATTATAAAACACAAATTTCTGTGGTAAGCAAGTATAATTTCTTGCAACAAATAAGCATCAGTCTCAAGAATAAAGGCAACACAATCTTTGCAATCAAAGTATAATCTCACAGGAGAGCTTATCTGGGGAAAAAATAAAACTACACAACTTTATGACAACAGGATACAAAGTAATTATAAATCTTCCAGGAAAATCCCAATCCCCTCAACATATCTACTGTTTATATTATTTTCTTCAAGGTAACTGTTAAATATTTTTTCAGCTTTTACCCTTATCTAAATAATAAGCTATAAAACCTAACTCAATGTATGGTATTGTCAAAGTTCAATATTTCCCAATGTCTAAAATTCTTGCTATTATAAACCTGTGCCCGTTGATTCTAACTTTTAATTTAATCAAAGTGGAATAACATATTTGGAATTCATAATTTTTGCTTCCACACTAAACAAACAATACACTGTAGCCCTCTCTCCAAGCCTTTCCTATTTTGAACATGCTGCACTACTTGCAGTCTCCAATCCCACCATGTGAATCTCACCTATTTGTCCTTTCTCAATTCACATCCTGTTCTGAATGCCTCCCTGCCCACCACTCATCCACTTAGCAAAGCCAGTTTAGGCACCCTCTGTATTCTGTATCTACAGTTGTATAACTCTATGTTCTTTCTCTCAATAAATGTAGAGTTTTAGTCTTCCTGTGGTAGACTGTAAGCAACTTGAGGGTAGACTACTCTGTGTTGTAGTCATCTTGGTAACCTCAGCACATGGTAACCCGCACATAGTAGGCTCTCAGGTATTTTTCTGAACAACTGAGTCAGTGTTATCCTTGCTACTATCCCAGGAAGCACCAGATTGTCAGAGTAGACACAGCAGGCTCCCCTATTTAACAAATGAGTGAAGTAGCAGATGGATATGTGCCTAGTCACAGAAATTTTAGGAGAGTTAAAATAATTTCCTAATATTAGAAGCTATTAGGAAATTATTATTAATCTTGTTAGTTGTGATGATTATGGTTAGGTAGAAAAAATGCCTTATTGTTAGAAATGCGTATTGAAGTATTTATAGTGAAATGTCATGATGCCTATGGAATTTACTTTCAAATACTTCAACAAAATAGATGAAGCGATGTGATAAAATAATTATTGTTAAATTTAGTTATGCTTATATTCTAGTCTATTCCAACATTTAAAATGTAATTGGCAAGATGACAAGAATATATTAAGAATTTAGAAATTAATGTGATTGCTTTTAGGTAAATCAATAACAAGTTATACATTAAAAGTAACTGAAAATGAATCATACTAGGATAAGCAAAGGACAGCATCCTAAACTACTTATGGGAGGAAGGAAGGGAATCTCTTATTTAGAAATAAATTATTTACATTTAAGAAAACAAATTTCAAATACTACATGAGACAAAAAAATGTGATCAATTATTTATTTCTATTTAGGGAAAATAGATTTTTTCTTTACATATATTCTTGAATGTTTTTTGTTATACATGTAAAACCAATATGTTCACTGACAAATAAATATAAATAAATTAATCTTAACATTACAAAAGAATAAGATTTACAATAATTTGGCTATGAACATCTCAGCTCAGAAATATAGAACTTTTTTTATGTTAATATCGTAATATTTCTGGATACTTTTAAAGACATTAAGTCAAGGAAGACACCTTTCACCCTTTCACAGGGCTCTTCCCCCCCCCCCAAAAAAAAAGGAAAGAAAAGATTGTCCTAAGAACAAAATTGTAGTGACAAAGAATTATTCCTTCATGCTATACTCTTCCTTTGCCACCAACTAAACCAAGAAACTGAACACTCTTGGGTCATTAGCATGTTTTCCTTTAAAATATTTTGCCAACCCATTCAGACTCATTTTAATGGAATAAGATGCAAATGCCTTATAGTCAAGAAGGATTATTTTATAATGTGGCTCATTTCTTTTTAGGAATTTTGCTCAAAAGAGTCTGATTTTACTGTTTGTTTTCAATATCCAATTCATGTTTTTTAATTTTTTTATTTCCTTTGTAAGTAAAAATAACATTACATATCTAGTGGGGAAAAAAGTCACTTATTTTCTTCATGCTCACATTCTAAGCATGAACAAATCTCTACACTTTCCTACACTTTTAGGAAAGTAATCACTCTCAATCCTGCAAGTTGTTCTATTTTCAAGAGTCTTAGGAGTGTTGAGAATGTGATTCCAGGACAGATTCCTTTTTCTCTTTGCTTCGTTGACATTCCTATGCACCTTAAGGACAACGAGAACATGTAACATGAAGAGCACTACTGCATTTATTGTGTCCACTCCTCCAGAAAGCTCTAAGAAACTACAAATGTTCTGTGTACTTGTGTGCACTTTCTTCTTAACTCTTCTTTGGCTAAGTCAGCTAGCCAATAGTGACTAGCATCATAAGCAAAACTGTCAATGTTATACATGTGTGTCCTGAAAGTTAAAAAAAAAAAAAAAAAAAAAAAGTTAAAATCAAAATAATTTTATTTACTGGTGAGAGACATTAATTTTTTTAGTTACTATGTGATACACCACAAAAAAGAATCGGTTAATTTGGGTTGCAAAATAAATGAAAATTAGTAAGTTAGAATGGAGACGCGCAGCCAGGACAGAGTTTCGAGTTCATTAGCTATAGCAACAGCAACTAAAACATGAAGCTTGAGTTTCTCCTTCCTTGAGATTAAGTGGCCGAGTTAGAATCAACTAAGATACCTTCAAATTAAAAGTCAATGAAAACCCTCTGACTACTACCTGTGGAATAGAGGAAAGTTTTCATCAAAAAAACAAGACACCTAGAAAGTTTCACAGATACGCTTATGTTATTTTTGTGTAATAATTCTGTATAACAATATAAAGGAGATATCTTACCAGATCTATATACATGACTTATAAAAGGTACCTCAAAACAAATTTTCATATTTCTGAACTCTGGAAACTCTAAAAAGCCATCAAGCACAAAGGAGAAAGAAATACAATATAGGCCAATCATCTCAAGACACAAATAGTCATAATGAAGGCATTTCTATTTGTAAGCCCTCATGTATGAACCTTTTGGTATTTTTCCAAATATCTGTGGCATTGTTAGCATCCAATCATTACAATCAACTGAGTGCAAAACACAGGATGAGATGATGAGCCTATTGCTGAAGAGTCGAGAACTGGTGACACATCATACGGATGAGAGAGTCTATATGTTAGTCATCCATTCAACAAAGAATAATTCTGACAATAACAGGGGTTTAAGCCTCTATTATTCTTTAACAGTCAGAGATAAATCCTGAGCCAAGTGTATTGATGAACATTTTGCAAGATACAGAAATGTGATTTTATAAAATCATATACCTTTTATAATTTACCAGGTCTTACTTCTGAGGCATCACCGCTGAGTAAATTATGAGCTATAACGTTGTGTGCTTTGTTGTTCTCATGTGTGTAATAAGAGCTGAACAGTAGAGAAGGAAAACACTAATTGAATTACATAATGTTAATTTCAATCAGAAAGCAATATTGGCATTTGCTTACAATCACATCCCTTTTATAAACTAAAACTTATCATACATACCCAACACTTCTGAAAGAAGTAAATAAATCTTTTGATAGGCAAATACAAAGGATCACCAGGTGGAGGAACGTTATCACCTTCACACTCATTAACTCTTACCCCATCCACATTAAGATCAAATTTTTAATTAAATCGATATGAAATCAGATTGGAAAGGATAAAGTTAGCTCTTATCCTCAGCAAAATACTTATACTTCCAAAATAAGGCAAGTGGAGTGTTTTTTAAGTGTACATGAAAAAGGCTAATTCTTTCTTAGAGGTTTGCATGAATTTCCTCTCACACAGAAACAGAGGAATTAGATTTACTGCAAAACCCCAATAAAATTCAAAACAAATATTTTCTCCTATGTTTCAGTACTTTTCATCCTATTGAAAATATCATGGCCAATTATTTTACCAAAGTATGTAAAGAAACTGATGACAGCTGAGAGAGAGCACCCATTAAACTCATCACCTTCCACCCCCCTTCACCTACCAAGCCCCAAAGAACAGGCTTTGGAAGGTAAATTGATAATGCTCTAATTCAAAAGGAGAGCTGAAACAAATGCGAGGAAGTACATAAGACTGGTGGTTTACTTTTTTTCCAGAGTAGTTTTGCCGAGGCATCTGTACCAACTTAATTCACTTTATGTGACTTAGAACTCTGTTGTTTTTCCTGGGCTCTAAACCACATTCTTAAAAAGTTTCTGAAAAATCTGAAGAGAAAGTTATATTTTACTACAGTTGCTATTATAGCATCCAGAATACTTTATTGGCAGTAAACAAATATCTGTAAAATTCATTAAAAAAAAAAAAAGCAGGACCTAATATGGTCAAATATTTTTAACAAAAGACTGAACCATTTAGTGATTTAAAGAACATTTACCTACTTAAGCTTATAACAGGCTTAAATAATATTGTTAATTTAAGAAGAAAGGAAAGAGTTATAGAGGGTAAAAAGTAGATAGTTCACATCACTCAAAGAATTAAAACACGCAATTTAGTAACAGCATTAAAATATAGTTGTTCTTAATTCATTAATGAAAAAATAGACAGGCGTTGAGGCAAGTTTGAAATAACTCAAGTTTATATGAACTCCACAATTAGTTTTCTGAACAGTAAAATCTACAAAACAGAAGAGGGTCAATTTAAAAAATCCTCTGTCTATAAGATATGTCAGAGCCAACCATGACATTATACTTATATATATTTAATGCAGATCAGATGCTTCAAATAATACTGATTTTTTTTTTCAGTGTGTTGCTGTTTTACCACCTGAGGGCCCACTATGTGTCAAGCAATGTTCTAACCTCTTTACAGGGGGCAGGCAACTCATTTGGATCCTTACTACAATCCCATGAGGTAGGTACCATATTTTCCCCACTTCACAAATAAGAAAACTGAGGCATAGAGATGTTAAATTGCTCACAGTTACACGGCACTTAAACAGCAGACTCAGGATTCGAAGCAAGCAGTCAGGTTCCAGAGTCTGCCCTCCTAACCACTGGGCTGTTTTTGGCTAGACTGGCATCTATTAATAAACACAACTCAGAAAATGGCCTAATCATAGGCAATTAAACAATATGTTAGAGGTTGATTTTTCCTAGATTTCTTTGCTTCTGTACAACATACAGTTACTATCATAAATTGTACTGAGTAGGGAAAAAGGTGAGTTGATTAATAGATTGCAAAGTGAGACTTCAGCTTTCAAATCACTTTCCTTTGAAATGTTGTTAGTGCCCATAAATATATTGAGAAGTTTAAAAAAATAGACACAAAGTTTGTTCATCCAGGATAGTAATTACAGACAAAAGGAATATAAAGATAGTAAGGCAAAAAATGCAATTAAGCTAAGAGCGTTATCTTACTGACACAGTGCGAAGTTTTACAGAGAAAAGTTAAGAATAAATTTTTAAAAATCATCAGAATTTCTGCTCACCCTGATTTTCCACAGTCCAAGAAAATTTTGACTAGAATTAGGATAATTATTACAGTACCAGCAACTATTCCTTGAGGGGGGAAAAAATTGGTAGAGTTAATAGAAACATGAGCAATCACATATACGGTAGTTTCACAATGGCAAATATACTGGTTATGAGGCAAGTTCAAGAAAAAATAGAAGACATGAATTATATTTTGTATATGGCTTCCTTATGTCACAAGTTTGACAGTAAACATTGCTTGTTATTTGTCTTGTTTTCTTTCAAAGAAAAATGAAATAAAATATTTAAAATAAGGTATCACAATGCTCAAACAAAACTTGACAGGTTTGAGAGGATTCTGAAGTGTTTCAACCCCATCATGCTCAATTTTAAATGTTTTGATCATTGATCATTCAAACATGATGACTGAATTATGTAATTTTAGCACTAGAAGGTACCTTGGCGTTCACTCCCATTTATAGATGAGTAAATTGAGTTTCAGAAGGGTGAAGATGACATGTGGTTAACGTGAAGGTCATTTACTTAGTTCACAGTAAAGATAACAGAGATGTGGGCATTTCTCCATCACAGGAAAGGTATCATCGTCTGAGCATGGAGGGTAAAATATATTTACTTTGCCTACAGAATATGCTTTTCAGCATTCAGTCTATTGTAGATAAAATTTCATTTAGAAAAGCTAATATTTACTTTTAAAATTAAATGCACTATTTTGAGTTAAACAACAGCAAATAATTGGTCAAGTAAATTGGTCAACAGCAAATAATTTTTATAGCTTGTTTCTTAACACACAATCTTTCATCTCAAAACCACCCATTTGCCCTTTTCCCCTACCCACCTTGGGTCTCCCTTTTCCTCCCCACTCCACCCACCAAAGTCCTTGAGCTCTACTCTTTTGATTTGTACTACAAAAGAAATTAGAGATGATACTAGAAAAGCAACTGAAGTTAATGTGACTAATAAGTGTATTTGGTTCCAAATCAGCAAAATATAGACGTCACACAATTGCACTACCATAAAGATATACGATTTAAAAAGCAGCTATTTCCACCACAGGTAAGTTTTCACAGTATTTTACCCAATTTCTTTAACTGATTTCCTAGCACCATATCATATAGCCTGGAAAGAATGACTCATAAAATAAAACATGGCTTCTCAAAAATTTTGAGTTTCTTTTCCCTTCACCAATATCATTAACCCCATCATTTTCAAATGTTGCAAAAACATCCCATTTTCAATTTGAATGATAAATGAAGACAAGAATTTAAAAGTGATCCAAAATATCTGGATGAAAGAAGTAAGAGCTAATTCCTAGAACACTGATCAGCACATATATATAATTCTAGAAGATAGCATGTGGAGGTTGACCATTTAACAGAAAACCAAATCAAGATACTGAAATATGAGAAACATAATTCTACATAAATGATTCCTCATAAATTAATAAGAGCATTATCTCCCAAATTAGAAACAAAGAAAACTTTAAGGTATAAAGGCAATAGTTTATGATCTCAAAATTCATTTGGTATCTATAGAAAACCATCCCAAAAGTGATTCAGTGTCAATTTAATATCTATGCAATTTGGATAAATGAAACCAAAATTATGAGTAAAATTATGATTATGATTCCAATGTTCCTAATCATTAATTGAAGAGCTTTTAAGTAGGAAAATTACATAATTTTGGAAAATGGTTTTCTCCAAGTAAAAGGAGTATTTTAGTAATGTTCCCCATTATGTAGAACTATATTTACATAGTGTTTATTTATTTATTTATTTTTTTATGAGGAGATCAGCCCTGTGCTAACATCTGCCAATCCCTCTCTTTTTTTGCTGAGGAAGACTGGCCCTGGGCTAACATCCGTGCCCATCTTCCTCCACTTTATATGGGATGCCGCCACAGCATGCCTTGCCAAGCAGTGCTTCGGTGCGCGCTGGGATCCGAACCGGCGAACCCTGGGCCGCCGCAGCAGAGCGCGCGCACCTAACTGCTTGCACCGCTGGGCCGGCCCCTACATAGTGTTTAAAATGTTGCAAAACAGTTTGACACCTGTTATCTCATTTGATCACCTCCAATAACTAGCTCAGTTCTTGACAAATAGTAGGAAGTGTTTAATAATTGTCTATTAAATTGCATTGAATGATACTCTTTTTGCAGATGAAAAAACTGAGGCCATTAATGTACAGAGTATCATCTCCATTTCCAAAGAACCCAAGTCAGAATTCTACCTACAAGATCTGGTGTTAATTAAATGACCTTTATCTCCTTTTCTGAGGAAATGTGGGTTCACCCAGTCACTTCAAAAGGTCTCAGTTGAATACCTAATAAAGGAGAAATGCAGTCCAGATGCTATGAAAAACTGAGAAAGTTGTGGGTAGGTTTTGTTCTTCTTTCTAATCCTATAACAAAATAAAGGGACTGAGGTCCGTGGACAAGTGAAGTCACACTAGAAAGAGACTTTTGTAGAAGGAGAAAGCATGTGCTTGAGTAAACGTTAAATTTTCAATTTATAAATCAGGATTCAACAGTGCTTCCTCAGCAACGTCCACAGGTCCCTCTAAGTGCCTTGCTAGTATCCTTGGACTTTCTGTGCCTCTGTATTTCTTCCAAGTTTTTAAATAAGGAAGGGAAATTCACACTTGCCTTTCCAGACTAAGCAGATCACTGAAAAATTACATGTTTATATTATCTGACTTCTTAACTTTGAATAACATGTAGATAACTGAAGTCACTTTATAATGGGATTTAAGTTTGCCACGAGTAGGGCCAGTTAATAAGACACAGTAAAGACGTTTATATCAGCATCTTATGCATTTCAAATAGCCACCGATGATTCAAGGCTCTTAAAAGCACACTTCAATTTGGGCTAGTCTGTAATATATGCCACATTAAGGTAGACATATATAGCATAAATATATAAGCATGTGATATTTAAAAGTACAGAAGAAGTACTTTAGATATTTCACTGAGTATCCTTTAATTTTTTCCTTAATAATTCCTTCAATTGATCTATTAATCCCCTTAAAACATCAGGACTATTTTAATTGTCAAACGAGTTGCACAGTTTCCTGTCCTGCCACTAGGACAAGAATCTTTCTATCCTTTCAAGTACCTAGTGCTGGAGAAACTAGTCATCTGCCTTTATTTAAGTGCCTAATAGCTATGTGACCTTGTGCAAGTTACAAATCTTACAAAACCACAGTTCTCTCAGCTAAAAAATGGGACATAGCTATATCACAGGATTGTCGTGAGAAGTAAATGAAATAACATATACAAAAATCTTAGTATAGTATTTGCCACACAGCAAAAGTGCAAATATTACCTTAATAAAGGACTATGCTTATTCTTTGGCGTGGCCAGAGGGAATGATAAAATTGTCAGAAATCCACCTTAGAAAAAGAATAGTGACTGCATTCTATGACTTCTTTAAGCTGATATTTATTCAATTTTTAGCACTGTACTGGGAGTTTTCATCTCAATTACCTCAAGCTACAAAGAGTTTAAATAGGAATCATGGTGGTCATCTCATAAATGAGAAAATTGGGACTCAGAGAGATTAAGTTAATCGCTGGGGTTGAACAATTACTAATTAAAAAAAAAAAACAAACAGGCTTCAGCTAAGGTCTGGCTAACTCCAAAGCACAAGCCCTTCTTCTATATAATATTGTCATAAAAAACAAAAACAAAACACAACTACATAGAGCACGTATTTTCAATGTGGATGGTATCATCCCAAAAGGGTGAAAACAAATTCCTACCTTTTTATATATAAAGTATGGATATACATATAGCACATAAACAGATTTACAATGTATCTGTGGTATTAAAATTTCACGGGGGATGACTAGGAAAAAAAAGTCTAAAAAGCTCCTTAGGGGGGAGAGAGCAATGACAAAAAAAATTTTGAGCAACGCTGATAGAGAGCCAGCAGAAGAATAGCTTTAAAATTCACAGTAAAGGCTTCATTTATGTGGCAAATAAGGAAGTTCTGAGATTAGTCAGTCTCTGTCTTAAGGGAATTAAATAGGAAAAAATTCAAATACTTCCAAAGTTCTAATATCATCTGTATCATTCACATCCATTGCAGTGTAATCAATAAAAGCAATTTCCCTGCAAACAGAGTTTGCTTATCTTTAAAATGAGAAAAGTGACCTGATTCACAGAATAAATTTAAGAAATAAAGATAATTTTCAGGTTTATATTTTACAAGTATAGGATCCCAAAGAAAATTATTGTCATATGTCTGATTCAAAAGGCAAAGAGCTACTCTTTATTTTTGAGCACAATTTGGTATTACAACTAACTCTAAGAGAAGGTTTCTGGGAAATCATATAGTACAGACTTCAAGAATTTCAGAAAATAATAAGCGCTTTAAACCTTCACTGAATGCCACTGAGCCGGTGAGAAAAAGCTCATCTATTAAACCCATCACTGTTGTCAATATTAAATCATTGAAATCATGAGATTTTCATTTAGAATACATTTATTTCTATTTAAAATATAGAATGAACAAAGTGAATTCCAACTGTTGGAATCTTTCAAGATAAATCTTTTAGCTTAGGACAGATTAATTCAAAATATAAAAGAACTGTAATAAATAACAATAATAAAAATAATAAAAAAATAGCTGCTTTCAGAATTATAGTACCTTGGCTAGTTCATGCATGCATGAAACAGGATACTTCAGCTTATAATGACATAATTTTAAAATATGCACTTTTTTATAAGAGCATATTTTCTATTGGACATTACTTATCAATATGCCAATTTAGTTGCATTGCTTCTTAACAAACGTTTCTTTTACCACCTTCTTTAGGAGTTAGTAATCTTCTTGTTAATGCATAACATCAAATAATATATATGGACAAATATAGAAATGGTCAAGGAGTAGTTTATGATTAATTATAAAATACTTCAGGATAGAAACTGTATTAATAACTGTCTCCACGTGGTTCTTCAGCTCCTAGAGTGATGCTTGAAACAAGAGGCACGCAATAATACTTGATTGATTGGCCAAATGATTTGAAGTTGTCCTAAAATTACCTTGGAACAAGAACATGGTTGAGAATACTTAGGAACATACCGGGTACCCAGCGGTGTCCACAAAACACGCCGATAAAATGCATTTACCTGCTTTCTTTTTGGCACCCATAAACACTGCATTTTAATAGTATTTCTAAGACAGTTAAAAGACAATATTCTCTTCCAGGAATATGGATTGTACATGCCACAGTGATGACAATTTCTTTTAACTGCTGGAGAGCCAAACTTACCAGATGCAATGATGACAGCACCTAAAGAGAAAAAAAAAGAATTACAAAAATAAGAATTTTAAAAAGTCATTGATTTTCTAGCAATTTAATATATATATATTAATATATATATAAATAAACTGTACTTGAAAGGTCAAAAGTAACTCAGATTTCTGTAACTAAAAGAAATAATTATGAATAAATTTATGAAAACAATTTCACATTATTAACTTAATCAAGTAACATACACCCATGCCTGTATCTATTCAACAGAGTTAACACTATAAACATAAACCATGAAAAAGAGTTATTGAATACTGAAACAAACACCAACTAAATTTGGTTATATGACTTGATGGGAAGAAAAAAGTTTGAAAGGTTAAATAGTAAATAACTGCTGATCAATCCTATGATCAAGAAACTATCAGAAAATGAAATCTCTTTCAGCAGACTCTATCAAAACTTAAATGACCATATCGCCTTATTATTTTTACCTTTCAATGACTATGAATGAGGCACTGCAAAAATTACTTTCATATATTTATAATAATAAACATGCTGCTCTCTTAAGTGGTGAACAAATTTACTCAAAGTGCCATTGAGAAGAGGCAATATTACACAGCAAGATTTAGAGCTAGCAAATGTGTTTAAACCTCACTTTTCTCCCTATTAACTATGCACTGTATATGTATCAGACAAGTTAATCTCTAAGCCTCTAATTCATCATCTATAAGATGAAGCTAAAAAATACTTATTTTGCAAGCTTGTTGTGAGGACTAGTGTTGACAAATGGAAGCTGTATGGTACGTGTCACCATAATACATACTCAATAAGTGGTAGCTACTTTTTTTTTTCAATAAGAGCAAAACATGATACATGATATTTAAAAATAAATTAATTGTACATGAGAGAAATTTGATCCCACATATTGATTGTATTTTTATAATAATTGACTCAGATTTAGTTTAAATTTGTTAAATTATCTTGCATTTTTTGCAGAAAGAAATACTTCAACAAAGTTCTATAACAAATTTATATAAAGTGAAACTCATTTCTCTTTGCCTTGCCCTATCAAAAACTGGGTATATTCAACCTAAAACTTTTAGGTTGTCATAAAAATTTAAGAAGTCAGTAACCACATACATGTGTTAAAATTAATAAACTAAATCTTATCTAAATGTATTAACATACACCTCAAAACCAATGTTGAGGGCAAAACGTCAAGTTAGGTAATGAAATATGACACATTCTTTATATAAATTACAAAAAAAAAACCATACAAAACAATATTATGTACTAATTATGTATACATACATGTAGCATAAGAATAAAAAATTAGGAAGATTGCACTCCAACCACAGGGCAGTAATTGCCTTAAAGCGAGAGAAATGGGAGTGGGAAAAGGTGAAAGGGAACTTGAACAATAATATCTGTAAGGTTTAAATTCTTAAAAATATCCAGGTAATGGCAAAATAGGCTTCAAGATAACAATTATGAAATGTATGAAATCATTATGAAAATATGGTCCAATTCTGTAAAACTATCTAAAAAAAAATACAATTATTTGATGCCACTAAAGAGTGACCAAAAGAAGGCAGGAATTGAAGTTCCTCTTTTAAAGAGGGGAATTAAATGGGGTAAGATTTTGTGTATTTGGCTTTTTACCCACAGGAATAAAGAAATATACAAAGGAAATCTCAACAATAATATCTGTAATGTTTTAAGTTCTTAAAAATTACCTGGATAATGGCAAAGTAGACTTCAACATAGCAATTATGAAGTCTGGACAAAATATTGAAAAATAACAATAACAATGATTTGAAGGTACTGGAGGGCAAACTAAGACAGGCAGAAACTGTTCAAAGCCAAGGGAAAGAACTGCATGGAATGAGATTTGCATACACGCAGCTGAGGGGACTCTCTAGGCCATGTAGTGTAGGGAGCGGAAAGTCACAGTTTTACCAGCTTGAGAAGTTAGAGGATGGAGTTCAGGATCAAGAGAGCACCTGAAAAGCGAGGAGGCAAATCTGAGGGCCTGCTAATGTTCTATTTCTTGACACTTGCAGTGGTTACACAAATATTTGCTTTAGAAAAGTTATTGAGCAGTACATGTATGTTTTATGTGGTTTTCTGTATGTGTGTTGACTTCAATGAAAAAGTTAAAACAAATGTTTAAAAATTATCTCTTTGCTCAGTCCTATTGAGATTTTTCCAAGGAACTTAAAAAAATAGGTATCTCTATGAGAGAACAAGAGTGTCTATAAAATGATTATACATTAGGCAACTTGTGAGACAAGAAGACAGCCCGGTGGCCTGAAGCAGCATTAATTACTAAGAGGAGTTTCATTCATTCTCTCAACAGGTATTTCTGATGTGTATGGCATATTTTACTCCACTTTCATAAAAACTGTCATTTAAAGAGCCTTGTATTAACATGAACTATTTCAAAGAACTCTGTTTTCAATTACTTAGAAGACACTGCTGAGATGCTTTACCAAATTAGCAACTCTAGGGCACCGGGAGAGATCCTTCGGCATGCTTGCAGGATGAGTCTCTGTCAATAAACCAGACCCAGAAATCAACCTTATGGATGGTACATATTTACTCCCTTGAAGGGTCTTGAAGAATTCCATGACTCCCTAAAGCTAACACAGAAAACAGAATTTCTTCACCAATAATTTAGCATTGTTTTTATGGGGCCACAACCTTTTTCTATATTATCACAAAATGTTTCTTTTTTAAAGATTTGCCCTAGCACAATCCAAGTCTGCCTCTGAAGAAAGTCAAAAACATTAGTATGAAAAAATTCTGGCTACAATAAATCAGAGATTATTTAATTTTGCAATCCCAGTCAAGTTGAAATTTCCACCACCGCACATTAGATCCACACCTAGGAAACCTGAACAGTGTCAACTGACCTGAAAGAAGGGTTCCTCTTCCTGCAGATGTGGTTGTTACAGGAAAACGCGTGGTTGCCCTGGGAACAGCTGGAGTCGGTGCTGCTGTAATAGGAGCAGCAGAGGTCAATCTCTGTGTTGTATGGAAACCCTTAGTCACTGAGGCATGTACAGGAGTGGACTTTTGTGTTGCTGGAAGACTCTGTGTGTTGACTCTTTGGGTTTTTGGTGTGACTTGTGTAGCAGAAGCATTTGTCACGATGGGATTCTGGGATGCTGGTGGGATCTCTGCAAATAGAGTGTTCGATATGGGGGATTTTTTGACTGTTGTAGCTGAATCATTTGCTGTGGTGTGTTTCCGAGGAGTTGATTGGGCTTCCGTAGTCGGAACATTTACTGTTGTGGGTTTCTGAGAAGTTGATGGGACTTCAGTACCTGTAACATGCACTGTGGTGGGGTTCTGAACTGTTGATGTGACCTTGGAAATCCTAGAATTATCTACGGAGGAAAAATATTAAAAAAAATTAGCTAAATAATGCTGTCCAAGTTAAGATTTAGGAACCAACTGCTTGCTCTATGACTCTTCTCTTTATTTCCTCACAAATACCTAAATATGACTTTTAGGAAACCAAGTCTTATTGTGTATTTCCCAAGTAACTGAAATGCTAGTTTGTTTTTGCTTTGATATAAATTACCTACAGGCAACTAAAGTGGATTTACACCAAAGTAGTATTGAGGTTCTTAAACCATTTTCTGTGTGAGGAAAGGAAACCAAAGTCAGAGTTGACAATGATCTCATTCTGTGAAACACCCCAAATAAAGATATTTTCTCTCATAAATTGTCTTCCTTCACTCATGCCAAGACCAAAGAACAGCAGGATGCAACCACTGGATCAATGGAGATAATCACAAGATAGTTAACTTTTTCCAAAGCTTTAAGGACATGTTAGTGACCTTGGATACTTGTTTTGTTTCACTTCTTTTTAAAGTAATAAAGTCAATTGGAATAAAATAATTTGCTTTTTCTTCTCTTCCGCTGGTTACCAACTTTACATACATTAGTTCCTCTTTGGATTTTAGGGCAGATGATAAATATCTGAAGTGCAACTTCAGTTAAGATCCTATTCTGAGAATCACAAATCTAACAATGTGGCAAAATGTTAGGTCTTCAGTGTCTGTCTGACTTCGGGTTGCTTATACAAACTCTCTCTTGAGGCAGTATTGAGTAGTGCTTAAGCCTATTTCACCACATACTAGAGACTGTCGTCAATTTCTCTAATCCCTCTAAGATTTGGTTTTCCCATCTGTAAAATGAGGATAAAAACAAAGAAGATTTTATAACATCATTGTAAGGAATAAGGCAAATAACTTCGGTAAGTTATTTCACACACTGACTGTCCCTGAAGCAACACGCTGTATCATCCCATACTACTACTGCCAGCACCATCAGCACACATTCTAGGTGCTGTATGTCCTTTACTTCTGCTTCTTTTACCTATCTCACGGGATGCTATAAGGAATAACTCAAGTAAAATACCTATCAGGTAACACAGCACTTAGCAGGCCCTCAAAAAATGATAGATATTATTAGGGTAAGTGAAGTTTCTATATGGACTTCATCTAAGGCCATCATATATAAAATTTATTTTTTGTTCTACCAAGTTAGTTCTCATTTTTGATCCAGAGGACATATGTACTACTATAGTTTAAATTTCCTGGGAATTACTTCTCCAGTTATCTTTTGTTATTTGGTGTCTAGTTTAATTCCATTGTGATCAGAAAGTACGGTCTGATTACTTTCAGTCTTCTGAAATGCATCATGATTTAGCGCCCAGCATATGGTGAATGTCCCATGTACACTTGAAAAAATTTTGCCCCGTGTCCTTATAAGGTTCAATACTCTTATATATCAATTTTTCAAAGTTTAATTGTCGCTCGGATCTTCTATTTTCTTACTGATTTTTGGTTTCTTGTTCTATTAACTATTGAGATAAGTATATGGAATTCTCAAACTATAATTGTAAATTTGTCATTTTTCTTTCGGTCCATTTTTGCTACATATAGATTGAAGCTACTTTCTCAAGTGCACATAGATTTCAGATTGTGATATATTCCTGTTGAACCTACTCCTTTATCATTATGAACTGTCTTATCTTAAAGTATACTTTGATATTAGTAGAGTTGCACCAGCTTTTTTTTTTGGTAATTGTTGGAATAGTATATTTTTCTATCCTCTACTTTCAACTATTCAGTGTTCTTACTATAAACTGTCTCTTATAAACAGCAAATAGTTAGATTTTATCTTTTTCTTTGTTTTTTTTTGTGAGGAGATCAGCCCTGTGCTAACATCTGCCAATCCTCCTCTTTCTTTGCTGAGGAAGACTGGCCCTGGGCTAACACTCGTGCCCATCTTCCTCCACTTTATATGGGACGCCGCTACAGCACGGCTTGCCAAGGGGTGTATCAGTGGGTGGGTGCCCAGGATCCGAACCGGCGAACCCCGGGGCCGCCGCAGCTGAGCTCTCAAACTTAACCGCTTGCGCCACCAGGCAGGCCCGATTTTATCTTTTTAATCTAATCTGACAATCTTAGTCAAATTACACTTAATGTAATTACTGATATAATTGGGTTTATATCAAATAACCTCACTATTAGCTTTCTATTCCACCCATCTATTTTATGTTTCTTTTTATTTCTCTTCCTCTCTTGTTCCCTTTGGATTAAATATTCATTATCATTCCTTCATTAGCTTATGATTTATACTTCCTTTTACTATTACTTTCATGACAACCCTAGAGATTACAATTTGTATTAGACTATGTCAATTATGCAAATTAACACTTTTACCATGTTTTAGTACTACTAGAACCTTATAACTTTTAGATTCGATTTACCTCTTTCTGCCTTTTGTTTTATTGCTATTGTACATTTGTATTCTACATATATACAAACCCCACAAGACACTGCATTTATTGTTTTGTAAAGTCAGTGTTCATTTGCCCTTGGCGGTGTTCTTCATTTCCTCTTGCATTTTCATGTTTTACCTGGTATTTTTTTTATTTTACCTGACGGATTTCCTTTAGTTTTTCATTCTGTGCAGATCTGGTCTGCTGGTGAGAAGTTCCTTTAGTTTTTATATGAGAACATCTTTATTCCGCAGTTTTAAAGGATACAGTCATTATTATAGAATCCCAGGTGAACGGCAATTTTCTTACAGCATTTTAAAGATTTCTTCCTATTGTCTTTTGGCTTCCATAATTTTTGTTGAGAAGTCAGTGACTGGTTTTATTGTTGCTCCTTCAAAGGTAATGTGTCTTTTTGTCTCTCAGTGCTTTTATCATTGTTTTGAGTTTCCAGAGTTTTGCTATGAGGTGCCTGGAAGTGTTTTGTTTTTATTCTGCTTAGAGTCCTGAGAGCTTTTGCAATCTGCTGGTTGATGTATTTCATCAGTTTTGGAAAATTCTCAGTCATTATCTCTTTAAATGTTTCTTCTGCTCCTATTTTTTTTTTCCTCTCTCTCTCTCTCTTTTTCTAACATACATTAGAACACTTTAACATGTCTCAAATGTCTCAAACTTTTATCTCTATTTTACATTCTTTTTTCTCTTTGTGCTTCAGTTTGGGCATTTTTCATTAATCTCTCTTCTAGTTCCTAATACTGTCTCCTGCTGTGTCCAAATCACTGTTAAATCTATCGTGTTCCTAATTTTAGATATTCTATACTCTAGTTGTAGGATGTCTATTTTACTTCATTTTCCTAGATTCCAATTTTCTTGAAATTCCCTATTTATCTTTTCCTTTAATATCTTAAACATATTAATCACTCATTTTCAAGTCCTTGTCTGTTAACTCAATTACCTGGCTCCTCTATATTTGGTTTTGTTTTCTCCTGATTTGGTTATAGTTTCTGGCTTCTTTTGATGTCTAATAATTTTTTTGTTGTATGCCAGACATTGTATATAAAACCTTCAGATGATATAATCTTCCAAAGAGAGAGTCTCTTTTTCTGACAGGCAGATTGGTTTGAGGGGATCACATCCTCAGCCTATGAGGGACTGAGCTGGGTCACAGTGTTAGGAAGACTCAGTGTACTTCTGCTCGTGCTTTTGCTTTTGATGGACAGTCTGGTGGATCTTCATTTCCTCAGCCCTGAGAGATTGTGGGAGATCCAAGTCTGTCCTTCAGAGGTCCCCCAGCCCAGCAATCTAGCTTCCTCTTCCACAGAGCTTCAAAATGGGCAAAAATGTCTTACGGGGGAGACTTGGACATATGCCTGATATGAGCCTGTTCCTCTGACGGGTATTTGTTGTCCCAATACCACAATGTTCAGATAGATTTCATTTTGAACTTTGGAAGCTTTGGGTCTAGCTCCCCACTTCCAGTGGGGAGTCTCACATGTGGTCCACATGCAGTCCCAGAAATCAGCAAATGGCCCTTGGGAAAAACTGGGTCTTCACTGAAGACCTCAATTTCCAGTGTATTATCCTAGCCCACGACAACCATTAAAGGCTTTGCTAGTTTCTCTCTTTCCTGGTAGTGGTCTTTCATCTGGGTCAAGATGGATCCTCAGCCCAGGTGTGCCTCACAATAGTTTGCCTTCACTCCCCACCCCCAGGAATTTTAGTTCATTTGGTCCTAGTTGTTCCTATAGCTGTATCTTATGTCTGTAAAGATATGAATTTTTAAAAATTCCACCCAGGTTTTATAGTTATTATAGTGGGAGAATTGGCCTGCAATGACCTACTTGGGCACTACCATAGAGTTGTAAGCTCTAAATAACTGATGATTTAATAAAACAGAGGAAAATAAATATGAAGCAGATCAAATGGCCAAATTAAAAAAAAAACCAAATATATCAAACTTCACTCATAATTAAGTAAATTCAGACAATAAAATGTTCACCACTGATACTGTCATATCTCCATATCATAATAATCATTATTATTAACAGTACAGAGAACCAGCACAATGATGCAATATTGGTGGGAGAGTAAATTGGTACAGTTTCTTTGGAAATACATACACTTTTGATACAGTAATTACACTGCAAGGAATTTATTGTACATAATGTACTTGCACACATGTACAATGAACAAGTGTACAATAATATTTGTTGTAGCATCTTTTGTAATGATAATTAAAAAAAGAAAAAAAACCTAGAACCAAAAACTAAATTCCCTTCAATAGGAGACTGGTTAAATAAATGATACAACCATACAATTGATATGATTTAAAAAAGAAATATGGGGATGTCTATTTATTTTCTATAATAAAACTCAAAAATTTGTAAACAATGGTTACTTCTGGGAGTAGGAGTAGGGATAGAGAGGAGATTTTTACTCTTCATTTTATACTTGTCTGCATGGTTTTAATATTACTTCACTATGTTTATGTCTGCCACTTATAATAAAAAAACTATTTTTAACAAGCAATGGTATTCAAAAATCATGCTGGGCTGGCCCCATGGCTTAGCGGTTAAGTGTGCGTGCTCTGCTACTGGCGGCCCGGGTTCAGATCCCAGGCGCGCACCGATGCACCGCTTCTCCGGCCATGCTGAGGCCATGTCCCACATACAGCAACCAAAAAGATGTGCAACTATGACGTACAACTATCTACTGGGGCTTTGGGGAAAAAAAGGAGGATTGGCAATAGATGTTAGCTCAGAGCCGGTCTTCCTCAGCAAAAAGAGGAGGATTAGCATGGATGTTAGCTCAGGGCTGATCTTCCTCACACACACACACACAAAATCATGCTAATAGAAGTTTAAGTATAATTATAAAAAAGTAGCATCTGCTTGAGTCCTATTGACATTCAAATAGGACACTGCTTAAACGAAGGCCACCTACTGGTACTATGCAATGTTACAATCCAGCTTCACTGATCTCCTAACTGTCTCTCCAAAAATATATTTAAAAAGCAGTTGTAAAGATTCTGAGAGTACAGCCTAGATATAAAAAGGCACTAAGGAAAAAACGTCTGGACGGAGGAAGAAGGGAGACGGGTCAATGGGAGAGAGAAATTCTGGAGGCAGAAAATGAATGAATGTAATTCAATTAAGTCAACAGCTCTAAGCAAGAGTTTCTCTCAGTAGTCACAGGTATGATTACTATCTAGATCCCTCAGTTCAACCTAAGATTCCCTCCCAACTGAATAAAATGAACTACTTTGTATACTCTTTATACAAACAGAGATATCTATATTAACTTACTGAAAGTAACATGGTAAGAAACAATAAATTTAAGCTAATTCACTAAAAACATGAGACGTTATGTATATACATGGATGTGTATATACATATATGCATATGTGTTGTGTGTTTCTATTTATTTATTTATATATGACCACACGTTCTCACATCCGGGCTTCTTCCTTTTTTGGAAGTCATAGACCCCCTTGAGAATCTGATGAAAAACTGTGCCCTCCAGAAAAATGCAAATATGCATATGTACCACATGTTACATTCACTTAGGGAGATCATAGACTCTCTGAAGCCCATATATAGACCTAAGGATAAGAATACAACAAAAACATAACTATGCAAACTGATTACCTTTGCATTCAGGTGGCGGCCCACTCCATTCTCCTTGGTCGTCTTTTACAGTACAATAAATAGAGCTCTCTCCAACCAGGGTGAAGCCTTTCTCACATTTATATGTTACAGACTCTCTATACACATAAGTGGCACGTGGTTCTAGAATTGTTCCACTGTCAATTTCTGGTGGTTTTGGACATGCAATTGCTTAAAAAAAAAAAATCCAACATATTTTAAATTCATAAAACTGGCAAAGTATTTTTACAAATAAGACTAAAACATTTAAAGATTTTATTTTAAAAACTCAAAATCTACCATTTTTCTAAATTCAGTATTATCAACAAGAGATGCTTATAAAAATCTATTAAGTAGTGGGTTGTATATTTGGAGCTTTGGATACAAATGTTATAAAACATGAATGCTAACTTTGAGACCAATTTATAAAAATAATAAGACAGAACATATATGTAAAACAAAAATTACAATCAAGTTTGCACGTGTTACATATCAAACTGCTGTTAGAAAAAGTAAATGCTACAGGAGTTCAGAGGTGAAAACAGGGCAGAGACTTGAGGGAATATATGGAACTTGAGTTTAAACCTAAGATGTACCTTTCTAAGACACAGCAGAGCAGAGGGCTTCGCTCTTCATTCTGGGGCTTATGATGTCAAATGAAAGGAGTTGGGAATTCAACTGGCATACTTGGGAAATAGGAATACATCATTTTGGATAGAGGAAAAGATCTTAAATGTCAGGATTACATTTTGACTTTTAGGGCAAAATTTTTTAAGCACGTCTCAACTCCCAGCCTTTTATTTAAAGTGAATCTTAGTGAACAGCTGAATTTATAAAAAAAATACAAGCAGAGCTACTCTAGCTATATTATAAAAAGAGCCCTCTCCCCGGCAGTTGCCCTGATAAAAAATTCAGTGGTTCCACTTTCTCCAGAGCCATGAAGTTGTTTTTCTTTTTCTTTATCAGGAAAGCAATGTGATCACATGTGTACATCAAATTATATTACACTGCATGCCCTTAAGTACCTAGAGAATACTAGCAAATTTATAAATTACGTTTGGCCATTATTTTATAAATTACTTTAGGCCAAAGCAAAGAGCAAGGACAAGCTAATCTGACTTACAGTGGGCTAGGGTGTGTGATGATTGCACATACCATCAGTTCAGTTCAAACATTTTCTGAGCACCTAATACATACCTGGCACTGTTCTATAAACAGAAGTGCAAAACCGAATAATATAGGGTTCCTATGTCTTAAAATATAGAGGGCAAAGAGATTGAAAGAGATAATTTCAATGCAAAATGGTGAGGGTTATCACAGAAGCATGCACAGTAGTGTGGAAAGAGAGAAGAAAGACAGTTAGCCAGACTAGGAGGTCAGGGAAAGCTTCTAGAAGGTCTACCAGAGCAGACCCTTACAAAGAAAAAAAATAGCCAAGCAAAGAAGGATCTGAAGGACATTCCAGGCAGACGCAGTAGCATAAAGAATGATGTGGGGGCATGAAGAGGCATGAGGTACATGGAAAACGAGAGTGGTTTGCATGGGTAGAGCATAAAGTATGAGGGCAAAACATCAGCATGAAGTAGGCAGACCATGGCCAGCCTTATACACCATACTAAGAAGTTTCGACATTGTAAGTGATGAGGAGACACTAATAAGATTTAAGAAGGAAAGAGACAAGTCATATTCGTGTTTCAGGTGGATCACTCTGGGTAAAGTATGGATGAAACATTAATGGAGTGCAAGAATGGAGACTGGAGGTCATTGCAATCAGTATCACCTTTGAACTCAGGCAAGTGGGACTCCTGCCCTAGCTCCCAACTTTAAAAGGCCGTGTTCTGGCCCTCCTCTGGCTGTGCCTCTATCTACTAGGCAGGGTATCTGCAAGGCTGAGGGGATATGCTCAATGAGAGCTCCTCCCCTACCCCATTCTAAATCACGCTCCAGGAACTGGCACACACAATTGCTTGTGCCAATACCCCTTTCAGGGCCTGAGAGGGTTCCTTCTCCTGGTCCATATTCTTGAGGATGGTCTATACTGCTGATGTGCACACCTCTAGCCCAAAGTTCAGTGGAGTGGGGATAAGGGTCACAGGCGACACAACTTGGGTGTGTAGGCCGAGTTGTCCATTTACATGCATCAGAGACCCCTCACAGTACAAGGAGGGGGCACCTATTTGAGACAGGCTGGGTCTTAGGCCAGACACCTCCATGTATACTCTTGCCCTGGGCCCTGCAAATGTTAGGGGTGGCCCTTATTGCAATAGTCCTGACAGGGATAATAACCAAATTAGAAGTAATATAGATGGAGGGTAAAATACAGGTTTGAGAAATACATTAAGCAGGTAAAGCAAAATGATTTACTGATTAGAAGTGAGAGATTATAAGATAATGAGAGGGGCCTGGGATGACAGATATTATATAGCAGGGACTGATTCTGGCTAGCATGTACCAGCAGTCAATCAAAATTACTTTTGAAAAAGAAAACATTGTCGGAGAGATAGGAAAACAGACCCTTCTGGCATTGAGGCTTCATTCAGAGGTGAACAGGTATCACCTCTGTTTGATGTAAAACAAAAGATAATTCTTGACTATGTCCATTGTTCTTTCCTTCTGCAAACCCATATCTCCATATCCACATCCACACGTGGACATCAATGCAGTCTTGTGTGTTTATAAGCCAGGGCTGCATACTTGAGGTGAAACAGCCTCATTGTTTAAAAATTTATAATTTTCACTCGATCTTTTTGGTATTGCCAAAACAGAAAAGTTATATGGAAAATCAAAACTAGAGCCTGGCCGGCCCCGTGGCTTAGCAGTTAACAGCGTGCGCTCCGCTACTGGCGGCCCAGGGTTCGGATCCCGGGCGCGCACTGATGCACCACTTCTCTGGCCATGCTGAGGCCGCGTCCCACATACAGCAACTAGAAGGATGTGCAACTATGACATACAACTATCTACTGGGGCTTTTGGGGGAAAAAAAGGAGGAGCATTGGTAATAGATGTTAGCTCAGAGCCGGTCTTCCTCAGCAAAAAAAAAAAATAAAAAGAGGAGGATTAGCGTGGATGTTAGCTCAGGGCTGATCTTCCTCACACAAAAAAAAACCCCAAAAACAAAAACCTAGAGCCTAAAAGAAGTAAGGCTTTGTAGCAATAGTTGAGGACACTGGAGTTGCTTAGGGAAAAGGGCTTTTTCCTGTAGGCTACAGACGTCAGTGGTTGCTGAATTGGAGAGATAGATAAGAGTCAAAGAGGAAAATATAAACATCAGGATGTTCACCATGGAGTTCAAGTCACCAGACAGGAAGTAGGACCGTGGCTTAGCCATGGGCAAGCATGAAGAGAAAGTGGATTTGCAGTGCAAAAGCTCTTCTATGCTGGAATATGTCCTTACTGTCCACATTTTTGTGAAATTCATAACAGCAATTGCTTGTGAACATATTGGCCTCAAACTGGGAGACTGCTTGACCAGACTTTGTGACAAGTTACTTGTGTCAGAAAAAGATATGGTCCAACTCCTCCTTGCTTTCCATATTTACTTTAGTATCATTTATAACATCCCTTACTATATACAGTGGAAATGGGAAAGGTGGTGGTGGGTAGTAATGATGAAAATTTCAAAGTAGTAATAATGAGAAAAAAGGAGAAGTAATAGATACAGGAGAGTGGGGTGCAAGGTGGGTGTGACAGGAGTAACCTTCTGGTTGGCAAGGCTTCGTTTTGTCTTCATACCAGTTGATCCCACACATTCCCTACCACAGGGTGTCAATTAATTTGCTGCTATTCATTGGGTTTTTCAGGCCAATTTTTTCAGAAGTGGGTAGCCAGGACCTTCTTTCTAGTCTATCTTAGTCTGGAAGCTCCACTGAAACCTGTCCACCATGGGTGACCCTGCCAGTATTAGCGATACCAGTGGCATAGCTTTCAGCATCACAGCAACATGCAGCCACCACAGTATGACAACTGACAGATGAGTGGTGTGGCTCCCTGACTGGGAAATGAACCTGGGCCGCAGTGGTAACAGCACTGAATCTTAACCACTAGACCACCAGGGCTGGCTAAATGCTTGATAAATTACACTAAATCTACTTTAGTTTCCTGCTCCTAATAACACCAAAAACTTGAACTTAGCAATAATTTTAACAAGGATGGGAGAAATAAAGCCCACATTTAAAAATGTTGCATATATTTTACTCCTCTCAATTTTTAGGAGACATATGTCTCTAATGGATATAAATTTGACCTGATATATCCATTTATGATAATATTTCTGTGCCCTATCTCCCCTTGAAAAGATTCTCAAGTGCATAAACCATGTTTCTTCTTTATTGTATAACCTTTTTTCTCTAATGATAAAAATGTATCACACTTTAAAACACTTCTAGATAACTAGCTCAGTTAATAATCCTAAAAGAGGCATGTAGGAAACACCAGGTCTTAGAAAAATGACGGGTCTGAAGTCAAGAGATCTGGGTTAAAAGCCTCCTCCTGCCACATATTTTGAGATATAGGGTCAAGTCATATAGACTCTCTGATCAATAGTATTTTAATCCATAAAATTAAAAATTATGGGGGAAAAAAGCCCTGTATCTATTTTACTTGATCGTTAGAAAGAACGGTAAGACAATAAATGACCAAGCACAATATAAACCTTAGTTTGTTTTTAATCCTTTATCTCCACAGCTAATAAATTAAGGAGCATTACTTAAAAAGGTCTTTAAATCAGCTGAGACACTCACACTGTGGAAGGTGAGGGCACTACAAATATATACTGTGGATAATTCTTCATGAGCAGAAAGCAACCGATCATTGATTTGTCAGCCCCACAACCTGAGTGCTTAGAGTTTTTCAAAGTCTTACCTTTGCATTCTGGCAATGGATCACTCCACTCAACAGTCTCACCTGCGAGAGCACAGAAACTAGAAGATACACCATCTAATTTGTACCTAAAGCAATGAGGGGAGAAAAAGAATTAATATTTCATTTACACACGTTTTACTTCCCTTCAATTCTCTAGAATATCATCTCAAAATATTTACTACACCAGTAGATGGAGACAAAACTATAGTTGATAAAAGTTCATACGGCAGTTTAAAGGAAAAGAAAAAAACTAAATTTAAAAAGGTGATATCCACAGGATAAAAAAGTATAAGACATGCAAAACATTTTTTATTTGAGTGGGGCACACGTTAGAAAATACTCAAGCGTTTTAAAACATTTAAAAATGACATAGATGCTTGAATATTTTATATTTCTGAGTTCTAAAAGACCAATATGGGCTTCATAGTATAATAGAATGTACTTATATTCAAAGGGTTCAAAGTACTCCCAGATTCAATATTAAAGATATTAATGATCCAAACATCTGTATTTAGTACAGGAGACAAGTGATACTGACGTTTTTATTTTATGAAGAAGAGGGACACACACACAGAATAAAATACAATTCAATTTGCAGATATTAAATAAGAAAATGAATATAAAGTTTTCAGTAGTGTCTGAGACACTGATGATACTCCAAGAGTGAGTTCCTTTTCCCTACAGAGAGAACTTATAGAAGACCTTATGTCAGAATGATATTTTCACACTAGGAATAAATGTTTTTAACCCATGATATTTTATAACAGGTTGTTTGCATACAGAAAAAAACCATATGCAAATTCACTGTTTAGGTAAATTAAAGATTGGTTTCTTATTTAACACTTGAAGAATTTAATTTCTGCAAGTTATCAACAACCTATCACAAGTTTTTTCCTTTACTAGTCACATTTAAAATTTTATAGTGAATCACATATGTACTGAAATCTAAGAACTGAGAGCATTTGATGTTATCAGAAACCTTCCTTCCTCCCTTATTTTACTAAATTTAACTGTGATGAGCTCATGATGAAGAATGTTTGAACAGAGGGGTTGTTTTATTGCCACTAGCTTGTAAACACTGGCCACAAATCTAAAAACTTCCACCTTAAATCCTAATTTGTTTTTTCATTTGTTAAATAGAGAGCGTCTAGTATGCCAAAACTTACCCTGTGTTACATGAGAAGAAGATGGATGCGCCAAATAGTATGCCAGTTTGTATACTGACATGACCATTTGGTATTTCTCCAGGATTAGGACATGATTTTTCTAGAAGAGAATACAAATTGATTTTTTTCATTAAATTATCAGGCACATCTATGCAAATTCATCATCTAAACCATTGATATTTCTTATCCTTAGACTTTTTTAATCCTGTCTTCATTTTATAAGTTTCAAAAAAGCAACATATTTAGAATATATACTTATTTTAGGTAAGCTCAAACTACTTAAATGAGAAATCTATGAGTAAATTAATATTCCTATCGCATAAGTATTTAGTTTGCCTCATTCAAAATAAAATGACTCTGGGGCCGGCCCAGTGGCATAGTGGTTAAGTGCGCGCCTCCGCTGCTGGTGGCCCGGGGTTTGGATCCCGGGCGTGCACTAGACGCACTGCTTGCCAGGCCTTGCTGTGGCGGGTGGCATCCCACATGAAGTAGAGGAAGATGGGCACGGATATTAGCTCAAGGCCAGTTTTCCTCAGCAAAAAGAGGAGGATTGGCATGGATGTTAGCTCAGGGCTGATCTTCCTCACAAAAAAATAAATAAATAAAATAAAATGACTCTAATGGTTCAAGAATCATTCTAAATAATAATATGTACACTTAGACTTCCAGCATGAATGAAGAAATACTATTTCCCCAAATACCATATGGTTAAGAATACTCTTTAAAATTATACTCACTTTTACAAAATTCAGCTGGTTTGGACCATGTAAAATCCGGAAGGCAAATTAGTGTTCCTGATAGAGAATAGTCCCTTTTGTAGCCCTTTCGGCACTCATATTTCACAGTGGAACCCTCTGGGAAATAATTCTGTTTGCTATAAGGCTCTTGGAGAGATGCAAAAAGTAGCCTGGGTGGAACATCACAGCTCCCTAAAAGTATTAACAAAAGCAACAACAAAAAAGAGTAATATCACCTTATTTTACAATTTATGTTTAATTACCTGGAATTATCTGGTCCTTCCATCACCCCCTTTTCTGTACTTCTTTGTACATATTTAGTATTTATATTACTATCACTAGGGCATTTACACTGTATTCACATACATACTTTCATTTCCTAATTACAGAGGCCTGTGAAGTAGATTTGGTACATAGATGTCACTATGCCCACAATTCAGAAAATATAACCCATTTAAGTTGCCTGGCACAGTTTTTGCACTAACTCAACAAATGCCAGTTCCCTCACCCTGCCCCATGTAGCACAGGGCTAGATGAGAACTGGTATTTCCAGACCCCTGGGCTAATGTCCTGGACAACAAAAACAGCCAATATTTATTGAATACTTCTAAATATTTTACACATATAAACTCATTTAATCCCCACAACAACCCACGGGGACAAAGATCAGATGAGCCAATAGTGTACCTAAAAGTATTTACAATCTGTAAACATCTGAGCAAACGTGAATTTATAGAGGCATGGTATAGTGGAAGGGGCATTGGATTAATAGCCAAATGACTCAGGTCTGAACCCTGTCTCTCCTGCATGAGAGCTGCTGATCTCAAGGAAGTTATTTAACTTCGAGGGGCCTGTTTCCTCAACTGTAAAATGAGGATAAGAGTCCCTACTCACCTCATGGAGTTGTCTGGAGGATTAGATAAAGGAATATATGTAGAAGAGTTATAATCTCTAAAACAGGATATATATGCAAAGGCTTATGTACTTCAACCTACTGCCTTCTATCATGGAGAGATAAAAACAAAAAGCTAAAACCAATTTTACCCCTGGTTTCAAAAAACACTTGTGGAGGGCCGGCCCGGTGGCTTAGCGGTTAAGTGAGCGCGCTCCACTACTGGCCGCCCGGGGTTCGGATCCCGGGTGCGCACCGACGCACCGCTTCTCCCGCCATGCTGAGGCCACATCCCACATACAGCAACTAGAAGGATGTGCAACTGTGACATACAACTATCTACTGGGGCTTTGGGGAAAAAAAGGGAGGAGAATTGGCAATAGATGTTAGTTCAGAGCCAGTCTTCCTCAGCAAAAAGAGGAGGATTAGCATGGATGTTAGCTCAGAGCTGATCTTCCTCACACACACACACACACACACACACACAAAAACAAAAGACACTTGTGGCAGTTTCTATATTTACTGTAGCTTCCATTGCTCCAAGTTGTTCAAAGGCGGGAATCAAGTCTTATCTTTATCTCTACTTGTATATGTCAAAGCTAATATAGGGCTATGCCTGTAATGATCGATTTTGAGGTAAATACAGAGAACTTTTTAAAATGCCACCAGAGTTGTACTGGTAAGTCCTACTTTACAAAATGAAATTGAAGAAAACAGAGCACCTAAGTTATGAGTCTCAAGGTAATTACTAAACATATTCATACATAATTTACTCCCTAAGCAGTACCTATTGTTTATTTTCTCTATTAGTTCAGGAGGTACATTGTTAGGGAAGCAAAAAAAACATGTGTTAATGAAGAAGGAGGACCTATTCTGGGAGGTAATGCCGTCAATTAACTGGGCGTCAAGTGCCAACAGGTATACTCTGGGGTTTAATAATGCTAGATAACTATCAATTACCAGCCACTCCAAAGACGTTTAAAACTAAACAAGGTGCATTCCATTCCCGTAACTTTTTTAGAAAGAAATGAAGAACTTACGATTACAAAATTCTGTAACCTCTGTCCATTGATTGTTAACACAGATCACTGAGTCTGGCTTGCCAGGAACTTTTACAAAGCCTTCATTACATTTGTATGTTACTGTTTCTTGTTCAGGAAAACTTGTAACACTTCCCAAACTTGTATGGGCATTAGGTACATCTGGGAGAGGACCGCAGTCACCTAGGGAGGAAAAAACAGAACTGAAGGAAATACCACTTTTCAATTCACAGCAACATTCCTTTCCCAAAAAGAATAAGGGAAGCAGCAATGGCTTTTGAAGCACACGTAACATTTCCATCCAGTGCTGAACTGACACACCAAGTAAGAACTTGCTAGGCTTTCTGTCAATTAATTCAAGACTAAAATAAGTCGAGAGTAAACCCCTCCCCTTCATTATTAAAAAAAAAGTGGTTTAGAATTTATCTGCACATAGATACTGTTGCTAGGCACGCAGTAAAGACAGACGCCCCTTGTAACGTTACACCTGGAGGAGACGAAGTGCAAATTTGTAGCGGCATGTGCTGCACACGACTGGACTCTGTTTAGAGGCGAGAGTGGTCAGCTATTTGGCCTCCCACCCTTAAGGAGATTTTATGGGTTTGAGAATTCACTCTATTTGAGCCCTGCCTTTCGGCTTCCCTACATTTGGCTGCTCCGCAAACTCAGCCGGTGCTTCCTCAACCCTCCACGCCTCACTCCTAAAGCCACGCCAGCTGGGGTCCAGCACAGCAAGATCCCTAATTGCTGGTTAGCCGCGAGATGCTCTTCCTCTTAAAGTGGAGGATTATGGGAACAATTACCGATGCCCACATTTCTCACCTCCCCAGGTCCCTAGACTTCTCGGTTGTTACGGAGACGGACCTAGCCCCTCCCACACAGTCTAAAGGTTTACCTAGCCCGGCTATGTCCCCCGACCCCCACTCACCCCGCGCAGCGGGTGGACACAGCAGCAGCAGCAGCAGGGTCAGCCCGCCAAGGAGGCGCAGCACTGCGGGGGCGCTCCGCCGCGCGGGACTCATGGCGCGCGGGGACAAGGACCTGGCGCCGGGACTCCGCAGCCTCCTCCACCCTAAGAGCCCTAGCGGGCTCGAGCAACGACCTGTAAGTAGAGCAGCGCCTAGCTTCACAAGTGAGTTAAATGAGCGCCTTGGGCGGGGCCAGGGCTATGAATCATCTAAGGGTGGGGCGAGGCGACGGGTGGAGAAGGCTTTTGCTCTTAGCAGGTGCTGGGCGGGGTAAGGGCGGGAGCTCTAGTGTCACCGGCCCCTGGGGACCCTAAATTACAGAAGAGGGGTCTCGGGCGGGGAGAGGAGCTCACTGGCGCGGGACGCTGGGACTCTTGCTTTCTCTTTGCTTTGTGGGTCCTGTGATGAGCCATCCAGCCATCTGGAACTGAAAATATCTGCTTTCTACGTAAACAAAAAAATGAGGGGAACGGAGATGGGGTGCGGTTCGAGTGACGCAGACTTTGCTCCCTGGGAATTTGAATTAGTTTAAGTGGAAATTAAGCGCGCTTGAGTGCTGCAAAGCTGAGCGGTAGGGGCGGTGGATTCCGAGATAGCTCTGGGGAGCTGAGAAATAGTGCCCACTCGGGGACGTGGTGCCTTCAGCCTGGAGGTATGTCAAATGCCAACAGGAGGATGGGGAAAAAACGACGGAGTGTGTTGTCTCCTAGGACACTCCGAAATCTGAAATCAGCAAGTGGGAAATGACCCAAGAAAACAGGTGGAGCAACGCTGTAGGGCGCGACCTTTGTTTATACCATGTTTGGGTGGGAATCACTTTCTTCCCCAGGGTGCTCTTCATTTACCAAAGACAACTCATGAATTCCACTTTGGCACTTTTCTAGTCTGACTGCAGAGAGAAAGTCACCATCCTGCGGACCATGCGTGTGTGTGGGGCAGGGAGAAAGGTGACAAAAACAAACAAACACGAAAATCAAACCACCAAGCACCAGAATGCTAAATGATAGAGTGGTGGATTTTAAGAGGAAGGTTTGTTAGAAGACCTTCAGTATATGCTAGTGGTTTGTGAGGCTGGCTACATGTTCGAATCACTTAGAGAGCTTTGTAAAAATCCAGATACTCAAACTACACCTCAGACAAGTTAAATTAGAATCTCTGGGGATGGGACAGGGGCATCAGGATTATTTCAAGTGTTCCAGGTAATTCCGCGATGCAGCCAGGTTGAGAACCACAGATCTATATGGTGCTGGTCAGAATAAAGATCCACTCAGCTCAGACTGTACCTACCAAAAACACTAAAGGACATTGATGGAAAGGGCAGTTACTCATCTTCATGGAGACTAACCCCAAGAACATGTTTCCCTTTAGTAATTTACCTGGGTCTGGTTAGCAGAGTCCTAGCCTAGGTTTCCTATCCCCTCAAACACCTTACCCGGTTAGGTGAAATCCCTGACTTGGAATTATGCCTTGGTCCATGGACCAGCTGTGGGGGTAGTTGTTGTATCCTGTCATGATTTTCTTTCCTAAATGCTTCCTGATCACTCTTTATTGGTTGGTATGTTTTATAAGGAGGAGAACAACAGTTTTTTGACAACAGCCTTTTCTCTGACTCATGCTTACTGTGCTGAACTGAACCGTGTGTCACCCAATGCTGGAACCAATCCTATAGGGATTCCTAGAAAGGAACTATTATGGGCTTTCATTGAAACCTATCAGTATTAAAACATTCTAGAGTTTAGAAGTTGGGGAGGGGGGATTTTAAAATCATCTAGTGTGACCCTCATATTTGACATTAAAACACCTTACTTTTACTCCCATATTTGATACAAAAACACAAAGTGTTATCAGGGCCCAGCAGAGTTTTAGAAGTGATACCAGGTCTTCATTTATTCTCCCTAAGAGCATTCCATGACCTTAACCACCACTCCCTTCTGCCACACTGTTGTAGGCAGGTAATCTTCATTCCTGCTTGAGCTCATGTGAAAGATAAAGTGGTATCATGAAAAAGAGCTGAGTGTCAAGGCCAGTTATGGAGCTATCAGAAGACTTGACTTTGAGGCCTGTTAGAGTTTATTAAGTGAATATAATAGCTTTTTATCCAAAGAAAACAATGAGCTCTGCAAAGTGTCAAAAAAAATTCTCTCTACCACCCAGGTTAGTCACACTAATGCTCTAAGCATTCACCTTCCAATATACTTAATTCTTGATGATTCATTTTTTTTTTTAAAAAAAGGAACTTTTACGAGAAGTAACTGGGTAGATTCTTTAGTAATACTTATGACCACCCCCAAAATGTCAACATTCTAAAGGCAAAAGAAAAAAAAGTCCACTACCCGTTTACTCAATTTAGAAAAAGGATCTATAATAAAAACCTACACATTATTAAGAAAAATTAAATATGCAAATTTGTAACTTACTGAAGATTATTTTAAATAATGGCCTCAATTTGTTGTGTTCCAGTCACTTCATATACATTATACCCTTTCACCAACACCATGAATTGTCCACATTTTATAGATGAGGAAACAAGCCAAGAAGCTAAGTAATTTACCAAAATCTGTGCAGCCAAGTGACCAGGCCAGACTATAAAGCTAGTTTGTCTGATTCCAAAACCTATACTTACCTCTCCTACTCTACCACACTACATTCTTTTTATTGGAATCAGTCAGCAATGACTTCTTCTAACTGGAGGACACTGAATTAGTATTTTGGGAGGTGATTTGAGACCCCAGCTGCTTCTTGTGTCAGCAGTAGTCCTGAGTCTTCATGCTTGGTCTACCAAAAACTAGCCATGTGTTCTCGGCCGAGTCACTCTATTCTCAGGGCCTCACTTCCATATTGATTAAGAAAGAGTTTGGGACTAAAATAGTCTCTGTGGAGCTTTCCAATTCCAAAATAAGAAGTTTATGTACTTAGTCAAGAAAGATTTTAAAGAATAGAAAATAGGTCTGTGATTTTGGTAGAAGTTAGGGAACACGGCTCTAACCCCTGTCCGAGGAACCATATAATGACTAAATCAAAGGCTTTTAATCAATTAGGGGGCACTTAATGCTCAGAAGCACATTAAGAAAATGCCAGTACTTGTGTTCAAGAATCTATAATCTATTAGGGAGGTTTTATGTGACAAATGCTATGAGAATGTCAAAACCAATGTAGTCTGGGGCACGGAAAAGAGAGAAAGGAACATGGCAATTGGGGTGAAGGAGGCTAATGGCCTAGCAACTCAGCTAAATATGACAAATAAATATCAGTGCAATAGGGAAAAAATATGAAAAAAGATAAGAACAGTATGAGCCGAGATTTGGAGTCAGGAAAAGGTCAGTTGATTCCAAGAATAGTAAGGAGTTTAGTTTAGGGAGAACCAGGGGGCCTGAACTGGAGCAATGGAAGAAGACACTGAGAGAGAGGCTGAGAAGAGATTTGAGAGCCAAAAATACAATGCTTTGGCATTTTACGCTATTTTTAGAAGCACTGAAGGACCACTGAAGATTTTAAGCAGAGAAGTACAAGGTCAATTTAAAAGTTGTATGTAAGGGGCCGGCCCTCTGTCTTAGCGGTTAAGTGCACGCACTCTGCTGCTGGCGGCCCGGGTTCGGATCCCGGGCGCGCACCGACGCACCGCTTCTCCAGCCATGCTGAGACCGCGTCCCACGTACAGCAACTAGAAGGATGTGCAACTATGACATACAACTGTCTACTGGGGCTTTGGGGAAAAAAAGGAGGAGGATTGGCAGTGGATGTTAGCTCAGAGCCGGTCTTCCTCAGCCAAAAGAGGAGGATTAGCATGGATGTTAGCTCAGGGCTGATCTTCCTCACAAAAAAAAACCAAAAAAACTTGTATGCAAGATGCTGCAGTAGGAGTGACTCTGTAAGCAAAGGCTCAACTTAGCTAACTATACAATAGTCCAGTCATTTTGGATTGGAGAACAGAAGTGTCTTTAATTTTAGTTTTAAAATTAATAAATCTATATTAAAGAAACAGTCTTGTTACTCTAAAAAACCCGTGACACACTTATTATGGCCATTTGAGTTTCCATGTCTGTTCTGACCAAGGAAATGTCAAAGGAAGAACCCACAGAATTTGGTGACTGATTAGATAAGGAGCAAGGAAAAGAAGCGTTCAGGATGACTCAGAGGTTTGGTATCTGTGAGACAAGGGGCCCTATTTAAAAGAGCTATTCATTGCAAAGTCAAGAGGCAATTTAGGGAAGAAATAACAAATTTGTCTGCACACTTGCTGAATTTAAAATGCCTTGACAGGGTGTCTACGGGATGTACAGCATGAGATGGAAATGTAGGAGAAATTGAGCTGGAGCATGAATGAGACATGGCTGAAGGCGAGGTAACCAAGGAGAAACTGTATACAGAAACTCAAAGAGGCCCAAGGGTTGAGCTTTGGGGAACCCCACAGTAGAGTACAAACAATGAAAGGGAAGGAGAGGGTGGTGGAAAAAGAGGAGAATAATGCAATTTCCTGAAAGCCCAGGGGTACAAGACTGTGAGCCAAATATTAACATTCTCATTGTGAGTGAGGCAACTTGTGTTTAGGGGAGTTAAGAAACTAGCCCCAAACCACAGGGCTTGTGAGGGGTGGAGCTGAGGTTTAGGACTTTAACTGCTCTGTTAACACTGCTCAGACCTCCCCTCCTCCAGGAATGTTCCCTGCCCCCAACATCAGACCCAGAAACTTCCTCTGTGCTACCAAAGTTCTCCATGTGTCTGTCAGTTCCTCAAATCTAAAAAATCGGTCTTTTTCATATTTGCGTTCATAACTCTGCCTAAAATTATTCCCAACTTATCTTAAAATGACCAAGGAAAAACCAAAACTTTTTATTGAAGTATCTTATCATGCAGCTGCAAATGAGGCTGGTTGTGCTTTGCATAGTAAGTGAAGTGTATTTTTTGAAGATAAATGAAAAAAATTAGCAGACTCCTGTTTCTTATAAGGGAAGTTTATTCTCCAGGAACTAACTAATCAAGGTATCTATGTACTACATCAGACATAGTATTTTTTTCCACTAGGCACAGGTTGAGCAGTACCTAGTAAAAGTAGTGTAACACCATGTAACAGTTTCATCTGACATGGTGGCATCCTGCCCTGCTTCTGGCTTTCCTGTGGGTGTGAGGAAAGGCTCAGCAGCCAAATGAAAGTGTAATGCTTGATTCAGACAAGCAAATGTTGCTTTGCCAAGCCCTAATTTTCTGAGACAGCAGTGAATTTTTGCCGAAGTGGAGGTAGAGGCAGGAGCCAGAAAACT